CCAGCTAGGGAAGCTTCTCTGGCAAGGTCACATAACCAAATAGCGTAGGGTTTGGTTAGCCGTGCTGGGGCCAAAGTTATGAATAATCCTCTAATCTTAAACTGCTGATCGACCTCTCCACGCAGCTGATCATCGAGCTAATAGTGGGCTTAATCGAACAGTGGTGGGGAGAGGAAGCCCTCCGTTCATACCACTCTGGAATCCCAATCCGACGGAGACTCCTAGAGAGCCCTGTAAAGCTATATCCTTTGTACGGAGCAGCTGGGCGTGGGTTAAGAAGCCCCCGCGACTTCATCTGCTTCCTTATTGCCCCGAGGCGCATGGAGTCACACTCAAAGCTGCATCCCATCTTCCCACCTTCAATGTCGTCAACAATGTTGTAGAGTCCCGTCATTAAGCTCTTGATAGAGACTTCTCTTGACTGGTTAATTCTGTCTACAACGAAATTAGCACTGATACGGGAATCATAGGTCGTTTCACCCTACCTATCACTCTCCCTGGAATTTGGAGCTTTGACACTCGGAGTGGAGCCTTAGCCTCACGCTGCAATAACTGTGCCACATTTGTAAATATATCCTTCTTTTTAAATACCCATGAGATAAAGAGCCATTTGACACTATCTCTACTTAGCTCGCTCGGCCGGCTTTCTCTTAGGTTTTCAATCCACGTATCGAAGTAGAATTGAAAGGCATTGTAGGATCGGTAATAATCAACGAGTAGAGCGATTTCGCACAACTGACCGACACCGATAGTCAGGGGAATATTCTGTGAGCGACAGTGGATAGCTTCCAAGAAAACCAGAAGACTCTCCCGGGAGGTACCTAGGGTAGGTAGCTCCGCAGCGCCTTGGGTATTAAGTGCGACTCCTTCCGCCCATGTCGGTTTCAGCATCGTCGCAAACAGCGGAGATGCCAGGATAAGATGTCTGGAGGACACCTGGAACCGAATAAGATGAGGCTCAGTTGCATGCACGTCTTTGTTACTCTTTTCTTCGGTTGTGTCTGCATCTTGAATACTATTTTCTCGTTCATTGCCTCCGGCTGGAGGCCTCTGAGTGTCCAAGCCCTCGCGGAGATTGCCTTCCACTAGCCACAAGTCGTCTACCCCGAACTGGTCATTCGCAGGCCGGCTTATGGATGAATTTGAATCGGGCCGGGTGAAAGCGCGTATCCTCGTTGCCCCTTTCTTATTTTTCTTTGTGGAAGGCACAAAAGGACCACCATAAAGGTCAAGGCTTGCTGTATCAGCGCACATTTCCTCTATTCGTATTTCATCCTGGTATGATGGGAGTTCGGGTAATATATAGTAATCTTCATCGTCCTCATATCCGACATCTTGCTCATCCAAGGTGAGCGTTATGTCTCCACAATTATCAAGTTCGTATAATGAGTCTGTAATACCTTCTATGCCTTCGACTTCTGGTATATAGGGAGGAATTGAGGAAGGATGGCCTAAACTCTTTCCTTTTGAGGCGTTGTGATTTTGATCAGCCCCACTTGCAACTGTAATGCGTTGAAGGCCGTTATTATTTCCATCCCAATCAGCAATGGAAGCGAGCCTGCGAGGGTGTGAGCTGAGTCATCCAGATCCCAGCGGCAAGCTTCCTCCTATTTAACCATTTGTAGTTTAGTCCACCCCTCACTCCTCCGAATTATGACTCATTACCGTCAATTGAGCCGTTCTACAAGTCAGTGCCTAACGAAGAGCTCCCCAAGCAAAGGCTTCTTGAATAAAGATTCCTGGCAGTCTATGCGTGCCGTGACTTAATAAATTTCCTCGTCTGCTGCTGGTATACCTTCTCGGCTTAATGGAGAAACGAATGGACCAGCCATAACGATATATTTAGAGACTTCAATCTCCACCACTGCTATATCTGAGTTGTTGAGTCGTTGGTCCTGCCCCCAGTTTCCCTAGACCTGCCGCAGTTAGGGCACCTTCCCTGTCCCGAATACAGCCAGCGTCCATCGTTACCAATGCTTTGTCAGCCTTGATTTTTCCGGGGAATCCGGCTGGATAAAGAGTATGTTGTACACTCGCGTGTTACCTCTCTCCCCGCTGGCCAATAGCCTTCTTGAACAAGAGGGTGGGTTATAAACCTTATATTTTGAGTTAAACGTATCATAGGGCTGTAGTTGAACCTTAGGGCGATCTTCCAGCCGTCCCAGTAAAGCTAACTATTTGACGCCAATGAGGCTAACGTCTATTCACCCTTGAGTTTCTACTTTTGGCCTAAAGGGACTTAATAGGCTAAACTGGTAGCAAATCTGGTATTTTAAAACTGCCTGGATAACCCAGTGTGCTACACAAGCAACTAGTTACGGAGCTTGCATTGGAATTCACTTGCGTTGCTAGCTGTAAGGAAAGCTCGATGAGGGGCTGATATTCTCCGCTCTTCCTATTCACTTGGCCACGAGATAAGCTTAATCTTCACTATAAAAGAGAGGCGCTTTAGTTCTCTAGGGATAACATTGTTCAATAGAGCGATAGGCACAATGTGGGGAGGTACGACTACCCGCTCCCGATTGCGGCAAACCATTAGCTCCCTATGGCATGTAAATGAGGTCCCTGAAACACCCAGAGAGAACTTCGTTACCTCAACAACAGACGTAAAGCATCGCTTGAGCTTCTCTCGAGAGAAGGAGATTGTTAGCAACCTCGCATTCCTCTCAGCCGTGTCTGACGATAACCTCAGGGTGATGGCTGTCTGTATTGAGGAATATAGTAACGGCGAGGGTATCACAATCCGGATAGCATCAAACACTGGAGATCTTTTAGAAGTCACTGTGGGTTTTAAAAAGCTTAGAAAAATCCTAATGTAAGCTGCACGGCGAGGTCAGTAGCTGTTCAATATAATATAGGAATCTAGCTAATAAGTCCATTAGAGCGACCCAGAACTGAGGATATAGGGGCTCTTTTTGGGGAAGTTATTGCCCTTGATATATTTTAAATTCTCTCCCGGCTATGGTCGCGACATGCAGAAAGTAAGAGGTCTTTTAAAAAGCCCGCTATAATCCTTTAGCTCTAGGAGGTGATTAAGGATAGATCTATTGGGGGTGGAATAAGCCCCAGCCTTAAGGCTGAAGTAGAATCTTTGTGGGACTTATTCTTCAAATTAGAGCGTCTGCCAAGTTTGAACTCTATGAGAGCTTAAGCACACGAGTTGCTGGGTAGGATTGTGAGGAAGGCTTATGATCTTACATTGGCCACTGACCTCAGCAACGTCTTTTAGGGCTCAAAACTCGACCCAAGCCTGCTGATGCACCTACCAGTAGCAATCGGCAAGCTTGGCCGGTATTACTCTGCTGCTTCCGAGCTTGTCTGTGCTGCAAGGAACAAGCAGTGCCTGGTATTCCACGACATCCGGGTGGAGCCATTCGAAGTCAATAAGCCCGGCTCTATCCCCGAGATCGGGAGGATTTATACCAAGGTATAACTCCTCTTTTTTTATAAGTTATATCTAGGCTACTCGCGCCTAAGGGTTATCTGTTCTAGTAAGAGTGCTTGCTATTTATATAATCTTTTCTTTACTCTCTATAGTAAGTTCTATATTCCTAGAAACCAAGATTAGGGCAGCTCTAAAATCAAAAAAGGGTTGTTGCCACCCAAATGAGAGTGTATTGCTTCCGCTTGTACACTGGCCATTATCAGTCGCCTTGGGGGATCTTTCTGTTGCTTCACGGTCGACAGTTCGGCCCCAGCCAGCTCACTTACAAGAAATGAATCCATCAATGCCCTCGCAGAGTAAGACGCCCTCGACACCGCCAAAGACCCTATCGGTGAAGCCTGATAGTTCTTATGGGGAGATAAGTTCATGCAATATCATGGATCGCAAGCCGAGTCCAGCTGGCAGAGTAGTTATTGGGCATGAGGAGTTACCCTATAGTGAATATATTATGGCTGCAACGCCTCTACTACATCTGAGGCTGGATAATTTGACTCTCTAATTTGATTTTGGTCAATTATCTCCCTGCCAATTACTAATCGTGCTGGTAAAAGCTCCCATGTGTAGGTATCAAATCGTTAGTATCGAGGATATTCCCACAGCTGCCGAAATCAAACTGGATTGTACTTCGCATGCCTCAAAAGAACTCAAATTTCAATTGACGATTGCGGGAAAAGAATTTATCTGTATTTCGTTAGTATGGGATGAACGGTAGAAAGATCTTGTAAGAAAGGAAACGCCCAGAGATTCATCTTAAATCCACAAACTGCTGCTAGCCTTGATATATATTTTACTAAGAAATCCTAAATTATGTGGGCAAGGGTTATCTGGATAGCCACTTAACAAATGTGTTGGCCTATGAGCTTGTCAATACTTGCCGTGGTTCCCACCAATTGGAAATGTACCCACATAGACGCCAGTATATCTGCGGGCGACCTTTCATGGCTAACGAGTGTCCGGATTCGGGAATTGCACATCTAGCTGATCTTGCATGAAGCGCAGATAACCCCAGCAGGTGCATAGCCTTGATGCAAAGATACCTAACGATGAATAGATCGGGAGCCTTATGATTTCTTGGGTAGCGAAACTGCATCTAGGAACGTTTTATATGCGGTTAGAGCCACCGCGATAACACCAGTTTCTCGCTTTGATTGCAAAGTTCAATTGACATTCAAAGTACCACCCACACCAAAGAGCCAATCATGACGGTCGAAAATACCGACTACAAAAAGCTAGGTGATCCAGCCTTGCTCGGCAAAATTGATAGTCTTTTTGCCTGCGGAGTTGGAGAATATGTTGACCTGCCGCAGATTGTTGTCGTTAGCGACCAGTCAAGCGGCAAGAGCTCAGTCCTAGAGGGACTGACGAAATTACCATTTCCGCGTGATAGCGGTCTATGCACCAGATTTGCAACCCTGATCACGTTCCGTCGTGCAAAAACAAAGCGCATCTTAATTTCTATCAGACCTCACGTGAATTCAGACAAGGAACATGCCGTAAAAGTCAAGCTTGGAAGACTGAGTGGGAAGATTTGACGGCGTATTCGTTCGGTCAAATAATGAAGGAGGTCAGTCTAATTCCCACAGAACTAAGTACCGCACTGACGCTGTGTAGGTCTATGAAGTGATGGAGTTGTCAGGCCCTGGGGGGAAATCGGACGAGAAGACTTTCTTAAACGATGTTCTTCAGCTGGAAATATCTGGACCAGATGAGGATCACTTGAGTGTCATCGACGTCCCTGGGATATTCAAGAATACGACTGAGGGCGTTACGACCAAAAATGATATCGAAACGGTCCGTGACATGGTGTATAGCTACATGCGAAACCCTAGGTCTATTATGCTCACGGTCGTGCCAGCGAATGTTGATATCGCCACCCAGGAAATTGTTGAGATGGCCAGGGAGCTAGATCAAGACGGCGAGAGAACTCTTGGCGTGATTACTAAGCCCGATCTCGTGGACAGGTGTCAGAATCTTCGTGTGTACGGCGTCTTGGCAGTATCAGGCCAACGCCACGCCCCCCCCTGCAGATCTGTTTGATTACGGCTCGTACGTACGCTACGCCTTCCCCCATATATATAGAGGCCAGATATGGCCTGTTTCCCTAGTTATCATCATCATTCATCGATATTAGGCCTATTTTCGCTCTTTGCTATTGTATCTTGGGCTTATAGGCATTGATTTGCCGTTCCGTTGTGTCCCGTAGAGACGCCACAATCGTACCGATCATTAGCGCGCTCCGATAACAGGGGAGCGGAGAGCGCCGTCGTTGACCTAATCAGCGGGAAAGAGCCAGGAAACCGAGTGCAATGGAGCGTTGTACGTAATCCGGGGCAGCAGGATTTGCTTGATCAAAATACAGACCGGCAATCGGAAACGCGTTTCTTCCGTGATGTGTCGCCATGGAATACTTTGGAAAAAGAACGCGTTGGCATCAGTGCCTTACGTACACGCTTACAGGAAGTTATCACCACTCGGATTCGCCATGAGTTTCCAAAGGTACATAGATGAGAAACTATGCATTGTTACATCTAAGCGTTTCTGACTATCTTAGGTTAAAGCTGAAATTAGCAAGCGTTTGCAAGTCAGTCGCCGAATGCTTCAAGCGCTTGGCACTGAACGCGATACTCCCGAGAAGCAGAGGGCATTCCTAGTTGGTTTGGCGACGCAGTACGAAAGAGTGACTTCCCACGCAATGTCTGCTAATTATGGGGCAGATGATCTCTTCGACAAGCATAAAGAACTGAGAATAGCAACTATAGTCGCCCAAAGAAACGATGTCTTCTCCAGCAATATGGAGTTCTGGGGCCATGAACGAGATGCTGATTCGGACGACGAGATATTTGATGACAAACGCAAGAAGAAAGTCAACATTCGGACAACCACCGACAAAGACGACTTAGAGGATATTATACAACCCCAGGAATACTTGCTCTCACCTTCTTTAGGTATCACGTACTGGTTGAAGACCTTATATCAAGATTCCCGTGGATTTGAACTAGGAACATTTGCGTCAACTCTTCTGCCAGCAATTATGAAAGAACAGTCCAAGAAGTGGGACTTAGTAGCATTAGGCTACATCAGCGATATTATGGTCATGACGCATTCATACGTTCTCTGCCTCCTTGAAGCGATCTGTGTTGATGAACGAATTAAGTCGGGCTTGGTGTCTGTCCTTATGGACGGTCTACTTGATAGGTATCGCAAGGCGAGGGACCAGGTAGTATTTCTGCTCAACATCGAAGAGATCAAGCCCTCCAGCCATATTAAATGACTACTTCAGCGACAATTTGCATAAGCGGTATGTGGTGCTGTTTTCTACCAACACTGACACGAGCTAACATCCCCAAGACGCCAGGAACGCTTCAAGAGCGCGATAGCGCAAAGGGCAATTTCAGTTCCGTCAGCAAGTTTTGGAGAGAATGAGCAAGCGGTTCGAGTACGTGATCTTATACAGACAGATCGAACAAACAACACAGACCGTGTCATTCGCGAGTTAAAGGACATCCTCTGTTCGTATTATGAAGTTGCCCGCAGGCGGTTTGTTGATAATGTGTTGCTACAGACCTGTCACAAGCTGACGGCGCTCCTTGATTACCTAAAGGTGATCAGAGGTTCACACCTGCCGTAAGACAGAAGGTACGAAGGTCTTTAGGGAAAGCTTGGGTTAGAAGTGAGTTGTTATAGGAGACAGCTCGGTACTAGGGCGAGATAGAATACTATAGTGAGACTATCCCTTAGTTCTAAGTATGGCTTTAGTCAGTGCCTGGGTCGGATGAAGGCTAAAGGTCCTTATAAATAGTAAAGACAAAGTTAACCTGCGTCAATGGGCAAAGAGGTATTTGGTGAATATAATATAAGATAACTAGAATGGTGCTTTGTATTAAGCAGTATAGTAAAACTATAGCTAGTTTAATCGCGAGTATAAGACTCTTAATCCTAAGGAAATAAGTGTCTTTATATATATAGTATATCTGGTCCCTTCCTCCTGATTCTTCTTAGATCCTATCATGGACCTGATGTCCCAGTCCCTTCGTGGACCTTTTATGTTCAGTCCCATAGGGACCCGTCCCTGATCTTGGCATCTGGGACCTGTCCTTATGGTCACGTGATGTGTAGTTATTCTATCCCGGAATCTTGTTGTCCAATGAGTGTATATCCTGGGGCTGCGCCATAGGTGGTCTGTAACATCATCCCCTCCTTTCTCATCGAGTCGTCTTAATAAGTATATAAGTAGCAAGTGTGTTTCCCTCCTTTTTATTAGGTAAGTCTTCTTTCTTCCTTTATCATGGCTCCTTGTTCTGTTATAAAGAAATCTTCCTATCTTCTCTGTAACTGGGCTACCGAGCGTATGATTCTGGCGGTAGCTATTGATCGTTCTAGTTCCTTATCGCGCTCTTGTTGTGATAACTATTTTTGGTCTCTTTAGCCTTGTGTTATGATAGATTCCCACAGTAAACGTTGTTCCTCTTGCGTTTATAAGGATTGTCCTTGTGTTGGCCGTCTTGTGGATAACTCTCCTTGGGCTAAAGAATTGGCCTAGCTTCCTTATCATCTTGGCAATTCTAATATGGATGTCGCTGGCAATATCTAAATAGTCTATTAGGCCTAGGAAAAGCTCGCTAAGGCTTAAGACAAGCTTTTAGTTATAATAGCTTATAATCTTAAGCTCTATCGGCGTTAGGTTAAGTTGTCTAATAAAGCTACTTATTTTAATACTACTGGTGAACTCCTTGTCGATCCTCTATCCTCTAGTAGCGTTTCTATTAATCAACTTCTCGAAGCGTCTTCTCCTACTTCTGAACCTTCTAGTAAAAGTCTTTGACTAGTCCTGGCGAGTTCTTAAGATATTATACTAGTTTGTAAGTGTTTTCTAAAAAGTTGTATCCCTTCTATTTAACCAAGTAGTAGGTTTATCTACTGATCACTTTCTTGTCTAGGATCTTTTCAACTTTATATTCTTTTTCTTGATTTTCTGGTTATATTTCTGGTTCGTATGGTTTGGCGTTTTGGGGTGCTTTTTCAAGTAATGAGACGTGGAACGTTGGGTATATTTGTATGTGGTCTAAGAGTTAGAGTTTGTAATTAAGTCGTCCAATCTTTTCTAAAACTTTGAATAGTCCCAGTTTCTTGTGGTCCAATTTGTCGCTTGATCTTAATATCTTAATGTTTCGTCAAAGTAAGAATACTTTTTCCCCCTTTTTAAAGTCTGGCGCTTCCACGTGCCGTTAGTCATAGTAGTGTTTCATTCTGTAGTTCAAGAATTTGAGATCCAACTATAGGTGTTTATAGAGTTTGCACATCTATTCTACCAAAACCTCTGCTTCTAAGGCGTGCGTCTTGCCTTCTTTTGGTGTTTTTATTATTTCTATTTCTCTTCCGTAGTTTGTAAAGAAAGGTATCATGCCTGTTAAGGCGTTCTTCGCTCCGTTATAGGCGAGCTATACTATTGATAGTAGTGAAACCCAGTTATTTTATTTGTAGTTAATATAATATCTCAGGTACTGTTCCACTATTTGGTTCATCCTTTTACTCTATCTATCTATCTGCGGGTGATATACCGTTGAGGCTTTCTATTTAATCCCTATTCTTTTAGTAAGTGTCGTCCAGAATTTACATATAAATCTTATATCTCTATCTAATATAATTTCATCTAGTAATCCTTTGTCTGCAAAGACATGTTATAATAGGATATATACTGTCTCTAGTGATGTGGTCTTTTCAATAAATGGTATAAAATAAATATACTTTGTCAATCTATCCGTGACTATAAGTATCAAATCATATTGAATGCCCATCCATGGCTCTATTAACTTTAATAGCTTGACTATAAAGTCCATCGCTATTGATTTCTATGCTATTTCCTTGTATAGTATAGGCTATAGGAGTCTATATAGCATATGTCGTTCTGATTTGTTTTGTTAGCAAACTTCACACTCCTGGATGTATTGTCTGATCTCTCTCCATATTCCTGGCTAATAGTAGTTTTACGTTATTCAGTCCATGGTTTTCTTGATTCTGAAATGTCCTGCAACCTTTGCGTCGTGGTTATCTCTTAGTATTCATGGTCATACTTCTCTAGGTATATATATCAGTCCTTAATATAAGAGTATTCCATTTTCTTTTTTATATTTTTCATCATTGTCCTTAATTCGTCCGAATAAGGGATCTTTTATTATCGCTTTTCATATTTCGTTCATCAGAGTGTCTTCCTCAGTTGTGACTGTTCGAGTAGCTCTCAATGCTTGCTGATCTAAGATCATACCCTTGGTATCTGGATCTAGTTGCAATATTACTCTAGATTCTCTTTTCTTTATTATTAAATCTGGTCTCCTGCTCAACGCGTCCGCGAAGGCGTTCTCTATTCCTTTACAATATTGTATCTTAAAGTTGTAGTAGGCTAGTACCTCAGTGTACCATCTTGACTGTTGATATATGAGTTCCTTGGTCGTCATAAAGTATATCAGATTCTGGTGGTCGCTGATAACTGTGGTCAGATGCCTTACTCCTTGGAGCTCTTACTTCTATCTCTTAAATGCTGCAACTATTGCTAATAGCTCTTTGTTATAGATATCATAATTCTATTCCGCAGGGGTCATGGTTCTTACGTAGCATGTAACCAATCTTAGTTTTCTTGTGTCATCTTTTATTATAATCATGCTCCGATCGCACAGTCTGATGCGTCTATATTAAGATAACTCTCTTTATTTAGATTAAAGTGTATTTATATATCTCCTTAACTAAACTTTTCTTTAAGTTCTTTAAATATTTGTTCTTTGTTAGTTCCCCAAATAAACTCTTTTACCTTCCTGAATAGGTCTATTAGGGGTTTCGCTATTACTGAGAATTTATATATATATTGTCGATAATAATTTACTAGTCCGTAGAACTGTTATACTTCTTTAACTGTTGTCAGTGTAGGCCAATCAATAATGGCTCTAATCTTGTCCGGGTCTATCTGGATTCCTTCTATTAACATGATATGTCCTAGGAACTTGACTGATTATTTATAGAATTCATACTTTGATGCTTTAAGGTAAAGCTCGTACTCTTTAAGTTTCTTAAGTACTTATCTGACTTTTTCTATATGGTCTTCTTGGGTTCCTTTAGTAAATATCAGGACGTCATCTAGATATACTACCACAAATATGTCCAAATATTCGCGTAGCACGTTATTAATAAACACCTGGAATGTTGCTAGTGCGTTGGTTAATCTAAAAGGCATAACCAAGAATTCATATAATCTAAATTGTGTCCTAAATACTATTTTCTATTCTTCACCTTCTTTTATTTGTATCCGGTAGTAGGCTTCTTATATATCTAATACCGTGAAGTATATTATTCCTCTAAATCTGTCTTATATCTCATCAATAAGTGGTAGTAGGTATTGGTTCTTGATCGTTATATCATTAAGTTGTCGGTAATCCACGCATAATTGTAGACTTCCATCTTTCTTTGGTACAAAGATGATTAGGTATTCTACTAGTGATTACGATTGTCGTATATATCCTTTTGCTAAGTTGTCATTAATATATCTTCGTAATGCTTCGAGTTCTATCTTGATCAACCTATATATGGGTTTGTATGCAGGCGTCTTCCCTTCCACTAGGGGTATCTCATGATCCCATGCCTGATGTTCCGACAAGCTTTCTAATAGTTCTTGTTCTCTAAATACCTCGATTAGGTCGTGATACTCTTTTAGTATCTATTATCATAGTTTGTCTATTTCAGTAGCTTCCTCTGTTTGGTGAACTATTTCCTGCTTCTTTATTAATTGATTGTTTGTAGTTCCTGTTGTTCCCGTTTCGACCTAGGGCGTCTTGCCTAGTATCTGACCTCAATCCCTTCTTTTAATATAGATGGCCGCAAGGGTATCAGCCTTCTGGTCAGAGCGGCGGTTTCTACCATCTAGTTACAATATGCCGTCTCTCTAGTTAATAGTCAAGTTATATTTTGCTAACTAAGGGTGTCCTAAGACCATATCGTAACTCCCTAGGCTTGTCACGTCAAAACATTCTGTTCCCTTGTACTATCCTTTGATATATACCTTTATACCTCTGGTTTCCTTGTCAATTCTTTGGTTCTAATCTTCATTAAGTCCTCTCAGTTTGTATGGTTCCTTTTTTATTTGGGTATAAATCCCTGACTACTTCACAAATTCTAGATCTATAAAGTTCCTAGTAGCTTCTAAATTAATCAGTGCTCGCGCGTTTAGCTCTACTAATTAAACTACTATCGCTAAGTGATTCTTTCCTCTTATCGTAGCTAGACTTC